GGCGAGGGCGGCGTCCGCGTGGCTCCTCAGCCTGCGCGGTGCCGGGGCGGCGACAGCCGGGAGGAGCCCCGGGCCGCCAGCTTCTGTCCGCGGCCCTTGGGGTGGGACTAGAGGCACTTGGACTTCTAGCTGCAGAGGTAAATGAAGAGACGAGCTCATTTTAAACTGCAGTGGCGACATTGGCGCGCCAGGGATCTGAGGCTCCCAGCGCGAGGTCTAGGGGTCCCTCTCCAGCTGCTGCAGCCGTCCTGCGCACCCCCGGGTCCCGATGCTCAGGACAGCGTGGCCCTGCCACCTCCCTGGTCTGAGAGGTTTAGGCGAGGGCGCGGGCCTTGGGAATAACTGGCAGGGAGGTGGCAGTCGCTGCAGCCTAGCGTTTTGAACCCAGGAGCACGGTTTTGTGGAAGGAAAAGATCAAAAGATAGGCTCAAGTTGTGCAGCAGGATGGTGGCCTAGCCAGCAGTTTTCAGCAGTTTCTAAATATTTGCTTTTTCTTTTTTAAGCACATACCCATAAAATTGTATCTGTCCCTCTGTTTGACAGTCTGTGTTTAAACTAGCACTTGGAAACAGTGCCCTCTGGGCAGATGCTCAATTTTAAAAACATTGTCCAATACATTAACCATTGCCTTTTTTTCTAGCTGCTTTATTATGGAAATATGCAATACATTTTAGATCACTTTTCCAAAATATAGACCAGCAATCAGAATAGCATATATGCACTTAACAGCAACATGTTAGAAGAGTAAAGTTTTTGTAACTGGATACCAGTTTGCATGTGTGGATAGAATGATTGCATTTTCTGTGGGGACCATTGAGTCCTGAATTACTATGTGGTTAAGATAGAATCAGATTTCAGGAAAGTAGAGATTTGTTGCACGATCCCTGTGTCAGCACATGAATAACATGTTTGAAGGAGAGGCAGGTGTTTTGTGACACCTCAAAATTTGTGTCTTCATCTTAGAGGAAGCCAGGAGTCAAATAGATAATCTATTTACTAAATTCTTAAACTGTCTTAAAATTTATGGTATATATATATATATATAGTAAAGTAATATATTTATGGCATATTATTCTATATGTTAATATACATTATATTTCCTATATGTAAAAGCTGGCAGTTGAGAGTCATGCCCCTAACTCCTGTGGTCCTGGAGATGCAACCGAGAGCTCAGTACACAAGCCAGTGCTCTGCCGCAGAGCCGTGCCCTATCCCAAAGTTGGTTCTTGTTTTAATGGGTTATTTTGCATTTTGTGTGTATTTGTTCTGTTGGAAATACTAACAGTCACTCGGAAAACTTTAAATGTATTCAATTGTCTTTGTTTTCTATATAACAAAATCCAGTAAGTACTGTGTGTCCTGTGATAGACTTTTATCAAAGGAAGTTTCTTTGAACTAGGTTCAATTCACAGTGTAATTGGGGACAGGGGCGTGGAGGGTAGTCTTATGAATTAAGTTATAAGCATGTATTTTATATAAATATATTATAATAAATATTGTAATTTTCAGGGTATACTTTGTTAAATATTTTTTATTTGTCTCCCCCCACCAAGCATTTCATTTAAACCTCACTGCACTAGTCCATTTCTTTTAATATTTATATGCAGCATTTTTGGGGTCATCTCGTACCCTTTCCCAGTACTCCAAAAGAGGGCATAATTATGCTTTAAGCATTGAAATATTTTAACAAGGAGATGGTAGTTTCCTCTTTAATCCTGAAAGGCTCAGATTCCTTTTGCATTGTAATAGTTCCTGGATGAACAGTGCTTGAGTGGTGCTGTTAAGTAAATAGGAATTTATTGTACATTAGAAACCTAATTTTCACCTGATGAGTGGCAGGCGCTGTGCATTTGTTGGCCCACTATGTTTCTGTCTTTCAACATTGTGCCCTGCTGCACAATTAGAGGGTTTAACTCCTGTCTGAAGGTGGGAAGAGACAGCACCAGCCTTGCTGTCCTGGCGGAGTCGGGCCTCAGCTCATTGCCTGGGATTGCAGGACTGGATGACGCACGCTAGATGGCTGGACGAGCGTTGGTCTGGCTGGCTTCCTACTGTGATGTGGGGAGAGTGGATTTCTGAATTGTCTTTTATGTTCAGTAGTAATAAGCAGGGCCTGGGAGCCAACTCAGTAGTATAAGCGCCTGACTGGCATGCACAAGGTCCCGAGTTTGATCCCCAGTACCATTAAAAAAAAAAAAAAAAAAAAAAAATCACTTAAAGCCTCGTCTCTATCATGGAGTTAAGGGCAGGTGTGGAAATTTCAGTGGGAATTACATTTGGCTTTAAGTCTGGGCGTGGTGGTACATACCTGTCATCCCTGTACTGGGGAGGCTGAAAACAGGTGGATCACTACAAGTTCAAGCTGCGTAGTGAGACCCTGTACAAAATACATAAATAAAAATTAAATTAAAAATAGTAGGGGCCGGGGAGATGGCTCAGTGGAATAAGCACTTACCTGGCAAGCACAAGGGTCTGAGTTCAATCCCTGGTTCCGCAAAAAAAAAAAAAAAAAAAAAAGAAAGAAAGAAAATAATAATAAGCAGTGGAAACCAGGTTAAATTTCCTTATTGATGCTGTTCTTAGAAGATTGATATTTTAAACCAATATGTACATGAAAACAGGTGTCACTCCCTCTAGAAAGTCTGATAAATATAAAGTAAGTTGTGGCTGTGGAGATAGCTCAGTAGAATAAGTGCCTGCCTGGCAAGTGCAAGGTCCTGAGTTCAATCCCCAATACCACAAAAATATGAAGTAAGTTATTAGCAGTGTAGTATATAATAAAAGCAATTCTATCGATGTTTCTGGACTGTGTAGCTACCCTGTTTTGAATGGAATTCTCTGATAGTGATTTCCAACGTTTAGCCAAATTCTGAGTGGCGCACAGACTAACTGCGTGTGGGAGCTCTAGTACTGTAGTGTCAGGATGGAGCCCAGCCTCTAAGGCACTGAGCCATGCGACACACCTACCGCTCACTTCGCAGTATGTCCTCACCCATGTAATTCTGTTCAGCAAACATTTGGTGAGTTCCTACCATGTGCCAGGCACCAGGCTGGATGCTTAGGAACAGAAATAAAAGTTTGCTGCCCGGCACATCCTCAACGTGATTGCAGCTTAATATTTTACTATATTTGATCGTAAGGGGTTGCAAGGGGGCTCTTCCTGTAAAGGAGGCAGGCTTAACTCTACTGTAGGTGTGGGGCAAAGCTTCCTGAGGGAGAGTGCGTGTTCAGAGAGCCATGTCAGGGGCATCAGGAGGGTGTCTGAGGCAGAGAAGGGTCACAAGGATGTGTAGACAGATAGGAGCTCAGAGTGCGGCAGGGAGAGGGAGAAACTGGTGTCCCAGCTTCCGTGGCCTTTGTGCATCATGGTAAGAGTTTTAGCTTGGAGGCCCTAAGGAGCTAATATGAGGTCAAAACAGGCTATTTAATTCATTGTCATTATTCTAAATTCTACTTTTGTAAAGCTTTTATTTCATAGATTTGAAATGAATATCATGATGAATAATTTTTAATAGAGCTGGCTTGAGTTTATAGGAATTATTTGCTTTGCTGTTGGTCTTATATTTGTTTCCTTCATTTGAAATAAGGCAAAGCCCACATCCAACTTAACATTTCCTTCTGTTCTCACTGTCATTGATTTATGTCAGAATTCTTATTGTAATTATTACAGCAGTTGTTATGGAAATTAAGTGTGAGATACCATTAGGCTCAGTAATGCTGTGTAATTGAAATCTTAATTATATCTTCTCTTACCCTCTAGCACTCATTGTATCTGTAATTGTACACAAACACATAGACTTACTTACTAAACCCTGAAGATATTTTTATTAGTCAGTCTGATAAAATGTTATGAAATGGGTTTCAAATGCAGTTACGTACACTGCTAATTTAGATCAGTTATAGGTCTATGTGCTATGGTAGAAGACAAGAAAAATAAGGTCTGGGGTGGGGAATTGAAAAGATAAAGGAGACAGACAGAGAGAGAGAGACAGAGACAGACAGACAGAGACAGAGACACAGACAGACAGACAGACAGACAGACAGACTTCACGTATCTCTGTGAAGGCCTCCCAGATATTTACAGAGAGTATGGGGAAGGGCAGAGGTAATGTCGGTGCTCCACTCCATTCACGATTCCTCTCCATGCAGAAATAAAAATTATCTAGGCCATGACGGCTGGTTCAAGGGCACTAGGTAGCGGGCCTGCGTGGTGTTGGAGCAGTTAGTGATGGAGGCTGATCAGCCATGATCAGGTAAGCTTTAGGATCTGATTACCAGCACGGCTGCTGTTCCTCTGAGACATGGCTTGTGTTCCTGCATGCTCAGACCCAGAATGAAATTTATCACAAGCCCCAGAAGGCTTCTGGAGTAACAGTTGCTTGGAACGCTGCCAACTGTCCTGCACTGCCTCCAGCTGCATCTGTAGTCATACGGCCACCGGGGCACAGGCGTCCACTGTACCGGCCAGCAGTGGCTGCAGAGCTACGGGGAAAGTAAAAGGGTGAAAGCAAGCACATGCCCATGTCCGGGACTAGGCGACTCTGCGAAGGAGATTGACGGATGGAGCTATATGTAAAATATCATTATCCATTTCCATTCTTTATTTTTTTTTTTTTTTAGAAAATGTATTGTTTTTTCTACTAATAAACCAAATCATAGGTTTTACCAAACTTATTTTTTATCAGTATATTTGGATATCACATTTTGAATCTTTTTTGGAGGGGCTCTAGGATGAGTCCAAATTTTTATAAGTGATATCATTATAAAGACGTAAGTGCTTTTCCAAGCAGTTTTAAGCAAGACGTTGATTCCTGCTTCATACGCACCACACTCTCGCGTGGCACATGTGGGGGACGGGCCTGTGATGTGGGTGCAGAGCACCATCAGCGGCATGGCGTGGGGAGAAGGGTTGGGCCTGGCTGGCCTGCCTAACCGTGGCTCCTGGACCTCAGGAGAGGGAAGCCCCAGCATGGAGGAGAGGTTGTGCGGCTGCCGGCAGAAAGTGTCTGCATTTGTCTGCTTAGATCTTCACAGCCTTGTTTCTTTCATAAGAATTTATCAGCTCAGTTGTTCAAGTAAGTATCAATATGTTTTAAATTTCAAAGGATTGTCTCATGTGAAAAGAGGGACAACCATCTTTTTTACTCAAAGTCATTTATGTTTGCTGACTATTGAGGTAACACTTTCCTGTAGTAACTTGAACAGGAGATGGTAAGTGACAGTACTGCCTGTGACGTCCCAGCTCCGAGACAGCGCTCGTGGGCATGGAGCTGCTGTTTGCTAGTCTTTTCTCCTGATTGCTTTTATATTTTGCCCCCAGATTTAGCATATTGTATAAGAAGCTTTGTTGAACTTTGGGCTTCACGAGCTCAACCATTTTCTGAAGTATTTTTTCACTACTATAAATCTTTCGTACTGGAACATAAAGCTGACTATCAAAAACCCAAATTGACCCATGAAGATTGGGAGCAGAAAATGATTTTGCATGAAGTACATCTTAGTTCTCTTAGTTGTCAGGAATGGATTATTTTGAAGCCAAAATATTAGAGCATGAGGAGAGCATCCTAGAATCTAAAAGCTGCGTGAGACAGGAATCCAGAGTCAGGACTCTTTGCTCTTCTGTCTCCACGAGCTTGCGATACTCCTCATGGACATACAGCACCGAGAATGGATCCCAGTTGTTTCCAAGACAGAAGCGCAGCCCTCCCTTGGAATCTGTGTGCACAGTGCAAATGCACCCCCAAGCACGCGTATTTGTGGGTGTTTCCAGCCAGGCCTGCCACTCTGAGAGCTCAGAGATGATCTGGAAAGCAGCCAAACTGAGCCCAGGTATGGATAGCTAGGAGGGCCTTTTAGAGAACAGTGGTGACCAATGGGACCAGTGTCATCAGAAATAAGAAGACAGAGACTGTCACTCAAAATAAAGTTCAAAATAGCATGTAGGCTTCCCTGAGGTGGGAGTGTGGCATATGAAAATGGTGTGGCCACGCAGCAGTGGAAGGGTGCTACATGGAGAGCACAGAGTGGCACGTTAACCTCTTTCGTGAGTGCGACAGACACACAACGCCAAATTGGTGCCGATCCACATGTGTTCCTGCTACTTTGACTGTCACTGTTCAGAGCCCTGTAAGATCAGTTATGCTCACGTGCGTACTGGAGAAACAGCAGAATACAGGCTTTCTTCATTGACACCCAAGGATATGCAAAGTAAACCGCGGGGAAGTCCATGTCTCCTTGTCACACCAGAACTCTAGGCTGAAAAACTGGAATGGGCAGGTGTTGCCATGGTAGTGGTGAACCCACCCCCTCTGTGCCAGTGGGAGCAGAGACTGCGAAGAAGGGACCCTGACTGTGATGTCCATTGGATTTCAGTGGCGGATGGCCCAGGAGCCCCATGGGAAAGGAGTGCTGGTTGCAGCATCTGTGCCTCTCCCTGTATATTTGAAGTGTTCTGTATTTTGTTTTGTTTTGTTTTGTTTTGTTGTTGTTGTATATTTTTTTAAACAGCTGTCTTGCCATAGACTGGGTGACTTGGACAAGCACAAATGTGTTTTCTTGCGATTCTGAGGTGAGGGGCCTTGTGAGAACCCTCCCTAGCTTGCACGGGAGTCCTCTTCCAGGATGTTCCCATAGTCCAGTGTGTGTGTTTATACCCCAATTTCTTATGAGGACACTGCACTTATGAGGGCCATTTACTACCCTCAGAGAGCCTGTCACCAAGGCAGTCTCGGTCTGAGGCCCTGGGTGTTGGGATTCAGCGTGCAGAGCTGAGGAAGACAGTTCACAAGATTGCTTTCCTTTCTGTACTCCCGTAGTCCACTGCTACCATGGATTGAGCCCTCGCAAACTCATTTTGAAATGTAATTCCCTTCGTGAAGTCTGAAGAGGTGGGAACCTAGTCTCTCAATGATGTTTTAGGTAGAGACAACAGGAAATGGCTGGACAAGACAAGCTCACTGGGCCGCAGCTGCCTGGGTTGAGTTCTGGGGCCTTCCAAATGGGACAGAAGCCAGAAATCACACGGTGCAGTTCCTGTATGTTGTCATTGATACTCTGTGCTATCTTAGGACTTTGCCATTGAGAAAGCCATTGCCAGGTGTGCTGCCAGGCCTCACACCTCCAGAACTGTGAGCCAAAATAAGCCTTTTCCCTTTATAAAGTAGCCTGCCCCAGGAATTTCATTACAGTGATGAAAAACGGACCAGTACAGTAGTGAAGCTTAAAAATGTAAGGTCGCATAGCTGGTATGATGGATAAGCAGGATTCAGAGTGTGCTGTTTCCACCCAAATGTTGTTTTCCTCATTCTGTACTCCCGTAGCCTCCTAGAGGCATGCCCTGACACTCGTCACGTCTGGCTTTTCCCCCAGAACCAAGGGACTTAGAGAAAACAATTTTACTGCCTCGAGAAGAAATGCAAGAAAAGAAAAAAAAATGCTCAAAACACTGAAGTCGTCTAACACTGCGTGTTTGCTGAAGTAGAAGCTAGTGTCCATGGAAAGGCGTGAAGGCACAGAGCAGTAGATGTCGAGCAGGAAATAATGGGGGTGTGGCCCAAAAGGAGCACAGTGAGGGTTACTGCAGGCGAGTGCGAGGAGAACAGTGCTGAGCTTTCATCTGGCTGGCGCAGCAAGAAGTCCCAAGGCCTGTGTCTTGGAATGCGCAGTCCACTGCTGCCATGGATTGAGCCCATAGCAAATAGTGGTTTGGTGCATATAAATAAGCCAAAGATTTTGATAAAATAAGCTTCAAGCATAGATTAGAACTTCAGGGTAAGGCTTAGTTTATGGCCAGCCACTCATCCAACAAGAGGAGTGGCCTCGCAGGCCACAGGGGACAGCTGCAGGTCTGGGAGAGCTGTTGGACTGAGTTTAGAAATCCAGCCTTCCACGAAGCAAGTTTGTATTCTAGTGGACTTTCACATGTCAGTAATACCAGTGTTTGAAGTCACCACCAAAAGTGTTTGACTGAAATTGCAAGGAAAAACAATTGTTATGTTAAGTTACTAATTATGTGAATGGTACTATGAGAATTTAAACTAAGAATAAATGATTGTTTGCATTATCATTTTATATCATTTTCTAAGAAGTTGAGGGTTTTGATGGTAGCTTTGCTCTGGAATGAAGTAGGCAGCTCTACCGAGAGGCAGTGGGGCTGACACCTGCTTGTGTGTGTCCTTCTGCCTTAGCCTTCTGTGGGCAGAACGTGCTCTTTAAATAATCTTCCTCTTCGTCTTGGTCCCATCGCATTGCTATATTTGGAGGTGTGTGATGCGGTGCACATCCTGTCACAGATCACATCTTCTTTTCTCTTGAGTGCGCTGAAGTTGCATCCTCTCTTGCCTTCTTTCTCTGCAGGTAAGAACAAGTGACTAGAAAAGCTGATTGTGGAGTCACCTGCTATGGCGCGGAGAAGATTTGATTGCCGAAGTATTTCGGGCATGCTAACAACAGCTCCGCAGACTCCAATCAAAATGGAAAACTTCAATAATTTCTATACACTTACACCTAAAGAGCTTGGGAGGTAAGAGAGCTGTGGCGGTGTGCTCTGCTTAAGGTCACTTTGTGGCTTCTGTTCCTGTGGTTCTGCTCAGAAGTCCACCTGGGGCCACTACCATGATGAGAATGTAGTCACCCATCTGTCCCTAAGGCAAGCTGAGGGGTTGACTGCAGACGCCTTGGGGAGTTTATTTGCCCCCCGCCCCATGCTGGGGGCCTGCAAGGTCTCCGTTCTCTGCAGCTGTGCTGGGACAGGCCACTTAGCATGGTGCATGCTGAGCCCAAATCTGGGCTCTGTCACCAACTAGGTGCGTGACCTCAATTGATGACTGGACTTTTAGTGCCATAGTTAGCACATCTTAAGAAGGAATAGAGGTAAATTTATCTGTTCTGAAGGTCCAGTTTCTTAATACTTGTAAAGTGCTTAAAACAGTTTCATGTAAGTTTGTGTTTAACATTTTTTAATCCCTAAGATGTTGTACATGGCTTTAAAAAACAGGAGATCCACTCTCATTTCTTTCCTAAATTAAACAAAAGCCAGTAACTCATGTCTGGCAGTGTAATTTATAGCTGTAGTACAGAGAAAGTGGGCTCTGTGGAGCACAGTCTTGAGCAGTTCTTCAGCTTAACTGAGACGCTTTATCTTAAAGGCAACTAATGGTTGGAAAAGGTGGCCAGTCTGTGTCTTTAGCTTGATTTTAGTTCTCCTAGAACTTTCGCGTTGGAAGGACTTGGCTCCTGATGCGGCTTCTACGCAGAGCAGCAAGCTTCCCCAGTAGGCTGTTGCTTGGGGTCAATGTGAATGCCTCACTGAGGGGGAGCTCTCTACCTCAGAAGTTGTCTGCTCTGTTTTGTAGCACCTTGTTAGCACAGAGTACCCTCCTTTCCACTCGGCTAGTACCTGCCAGTAGATGCGGTGCTCCTTTCGTAGATGCACGTAATGTGCATACATGCAGTGACTCTTCAAATACCTGAAATAGCTAAGCACTGACAGTTTCCGTCCATGCTTATCAGGAGATCTGATTTCCAGACAGCCTTCCGCGATGCCGTGGCCTCCTGCTGGGGCCTTCGTGTGCTCGCTGCTGCTCTGAGTGGGAGGCCTGCTGGGCCACCCCACTGTTACTATCTTAGGGTATTTCGTCAAGGATGCCCAAGAAGCCTTAGGACTCAGCCTCCTCTCTCCATGCTTTCTGCCCTCCTGCCTGCCTCGCCTTCCCTTCCCCTCTCCCTCCCTTCCCCTTCTTCTGGCTTTTCCCTCCAGTAACATCACATCTGTGTTGTGCAGCATCTCATAACAGATTAGAAGAGAGGGACTGAGCTAGAAATCAGTTGCGTTGTCTTTGTTGTTGATATAAAGTTGTGATGGGCTTAGTTGTGTGGTTTCCATTTTGCTCTGCGAGAAGGTGCTCTAAAGGTCCCTATTTACTTTTATTAAAAAACTGTACGGCATTTGCACTGCTTAGGGAATTAGGTAAGCAAAGCTTTCAACAGTGCATAAGACACAAAACATTTACTCCATTTTTCCAAGTTACTACTTTGATGGATAAGTATACTAAATTTATTATGTTAACTATGCAAAATAAGAGAAACTGTAGCAGGTACAAAGTATATACTTTATACTTTAAAGTTTTTATTTTAATAAGATATTTTATATACTTTATAGTTTTTTTTTTTTTTTTTACAAAAATAGAATTTAGGATGAGAATGATGTCACTAATATAACATTTTTATAAATGAGGTGCCGTCATATCATAAATGCCAATAATAAACTTGAATGAGCATGCTTTTTTTTTTTTTTTTTTTTTTTTTTTTAACACTTCAAGGCAAAAACTTATGGTAGAACCGGATTAAGACAAATTCACATTGCCAGTGTCCCATCTTGTATCTCTGGGAAGGAAACCCACATAGTGTCTGAGTTATGGGGTAGCGGGTCAGGTACTAAATGCAGATTTAATTAGCCTTAATAGATTAAAAAAAAAAATCATTCCTTTTCATCTAACAAAAGCTTGCTTAAAGTATTTCCAATATTGTAGCTAATCTTAAAAATGCTATATTTTTGTACAGTGGAAATTGGGATCATAATCTTGTTTTTCCTGAGGGTTGCATATTTTGTAGCACGTAAACATAACGTGCTAGCATGTGGTGAACTGCAAAGTTATCTTGCTATGTCAACTGATTCCTTAAAACTTGATTTTAAGATGTCAGTGTTTAGGAATGTATTTTTTGTTATCAGTCTGAAGGAGAATACATAAAAGTTAAGTGCACTTTTTTTTCTTTTTACCAGGCTCAAGCCGTTTGCCTGGTTCCTGTTTTTTTTTTTTACCACATTGGGTAGATTTTCCGCCCTCCCCCAGGGGAGGCGAGGTTTCACAGGACTTGTGGTCAGAAGGCCCAGGCAGATTCAGAAGTGAACGTCAGCTTCCTCCGTAGCCGCCCTCCCAGCCCGGATGGCTACTGCGTGTGCTGCAGTGAAGGAGGCGGGTGACCGACTGCCGGACATGCACTGGGGGGACCTGCAGGGCCTCCTCTTTCGGGTGCCTCCGGCCTGCCATCCCTGGGGGTCTCGAATGTTGGTTCAGTTTGGTGTGGGAACCTTGCATATTGAAGAATACTGCTGATACTTGAGTAGTATTTTAGAATTGAAAATAAATGCCTGACTTTTTCCTAAGACATCTGATAATCATGGTAAGAATATTTATCTTGCTGAGTATGCACACACATATAAAATTTTATTGGAATCACAAATTTTAAAAATAGAAATATCCCGTATAGGACACAGACTAGCCAAGTCAGTGCTGTTACCAGCGGGCCCAACGCCGGCGGTTTGCGACAGCATCGGTGCCCCAGTTCCTGTTCTGTGTGCGGTGGCTGAGAGCAGATTTCTGTATGAAGTCACACAGGCCTCTCCCCGTGGAGCTTCCGCTTGGTGGCCACAGAGCAGATGACCACTGTCCCTGTCCTTGGGCCTTTGTCCTGACTCAGTCAGTGCTCGCTGGCGGGACACCCGAAATGGAGAGCAGACACTCTGCTGAAGTGCGCTCTTCGTTCCGAGGGAATCCTAGCTTGTAAATAGAGCCATGAGGTTATAGCAGAACTAAATTGCCACAACTGGGACTGGGAAACTATTTGTTTTTTGAAGTATAATTTTCTTGGCCAACTAGTTTCTGTTTCCTGAAATTTACATAGCTAACTTCTTCATAAAACCTGAAGTTTCCTTTCTGTTTTGGACAAGTCTTTGCTTCTGAATCTAAGAATTGGCGCAGTGCATTAAACCTTGTAGAGAAAACCTCGGAGAGCAACGAGGGGCACCACTTTAAAGGGATGGATTGTGTTATGCTGACTACAATTGAAATGTAGACGTTCACAGTCCAGTTTAGTTCTTGACAAAATTCCCTATGCAACATTTCATGCCTTATGGGAGTCTTAATCTGACTCAGTTTCCTCAGTGCAAAATTTGTAAAGCACCAGTGACTTTGAATAAAAAGTTAAGGGATTGACTTAGTTTTTGTGTATGGTTATTGCAATGTATCTATTTGTGTTCCTTGTTTATAGAGTGAGAAGTACGTTGTAGTTAAACATTCTCAAATCTGAGCACTGCTTTCAAAGAATCAAGTTTGTACATGCATGTTCATTTACTTGAGGTATATTTTAATAAATGTAGGAGTCAGATTGTAGCTCAATTACTCTTATTGTGCATTACTTACTAGCTAAACCTTTTCACTTAGTTTTGCAGTGGTTTTCACTGCCCTCAATTTTGGATGATTTGGGGAAAAATGGGAATGTTTGTCACTCTGGTCCTTGGGATAGCAAGTGAAAACAATCAAGCATCTGTTCCTCCACCCCCTAAATATCAATTGTGTTAAAGATGATTTTCCTTGATAAGAGCTGATCCATTGTTCTAGAAGAGGGAATTGGGCGAGAGAAGTTGTGGAACATAAGTTAAGATTTATGCCTGATAGTTAGTATCCTAAACTAGAAAGCAGCTTGAGCCTTAAGGTAGAGGTTCTCAATTTTGGATCCTCCATGCTTCAGGCTTGGGAGGCTACTAGATGGGGCTTCAACATCTGAAAAACAGAGGTTTCAAAATCTGGAAACGAGTGTGAACTCCCTATTGGGGTGCATGCGCATTTGCCTGGGCAGGCAAGCTAAAAGCACGCATTAGCTGGTAGTCCATAACTCAGAATAGCTTTGGCTCTTTATAAAGCTAAATATTTGTTGGCTGTAGACATATAACAAACACACATACCAATGAAAACTAATTTTTATGTTTTTTTAAATTGTGGTCAAGGAGCTAAGCACTAGTGTTAGGAAGAGCTGACAACATACTTATTCCTGAAATGATGAACATGGCCTTAACAGTGTATTGTTCCTAACAGTCCATTTCATTAACTTTCTTAGTTGTTGGTTTTTTTTTTTTTGATACCTTTCCTATATTTTATTTAAAATCAATAGTAAAATGATAGTTCCTTTACACATTAAAAATCCACAAAGATAAGACACAAGAGTTTCTAGTGTCTAGTTACCATAATAACAGGTTTAGACACTGGCGGCTGAGTAAATACCACTCAAAGATTCAGTACAATTCCCAAACATTGTTAATTTGCTATTTTTGTTTTGAAAATAATGTACCATACTTATTGTTGTATGTTATTGTTTGTTTATGCTATTTATTCTTGCTTTTGTTTTTTATTTTAATCTTTTTTTCATAATTTTATTGAGAAATAAATAGCAATGATTGTCAGAGGTCTTAGACTGATCTTGCGTCTGGTAGTGGCCTCATAGAGTGTTGAGCATGATTAAGAGATGTTCTGATAAAACAACTCACAAATTATGATGCAAAGTTCTTAAGCATGTTAAAATTCATGTTTCAAGGCAAAATTGTTGCACTAATAAAACTAAACAAGTCATGTACCCATTTTTCATTTGACTTTTTTTTTTTTTAAGAAAAAGTATTCTGATTAACAAGTCAGCGTGATGCCCCGATGAGGGTCAGTCTTTGGAAATGGAGCTGTTTAAATTAGCTTGACCGAGTTCCATATCTTCTCTGTGGTCCACGAAACAGAATAGCATTTGCTGAATAGAATTGTTGCGATACTTCAACGCAATAATTTATGTCAAGTGTATGGCTTGGCGTAGGCATGCAAATGAGGTGATATGCTTGCAATGATGACGTGTCATATTAGTAGCAAAGAATAACTATAATTGTGTCTTACCCTGCTATTCCACTTTGTCCTTTACTTTGTGTGTGTGTGTGTGTGTGTGTGTGTGTGTGTGTGTGTGTGGCTGGCTGGCGGGTTGGCTCAGCCCACCCTGGAGGCGAGGCTGGCACAGCATGTGCTGCCGGGAATCAAACCATGGTCCTTTCCTGCGCTCGCCTATGTTTGCCTAAGCAGGCTCTTTAGACTGCTGAGCTGTCTTGCTGGCCCTGTCATTTGCATTTCTACATAATATTGTGCATGTTATAGAAGCACGTATGATATTTGCTTCAGTTTAGAGAATAAAGACACATTCTTCATACCATGACTATTTGAAAGATTGGGCTTTATATTTCACTTGTAACCATATCTGTTGGTTGTTCTTTGTGGAAGAGCTAAATTGCTTGTCCTTTCCTCCCCACTGCCCCACAGAGGAAAATTTGCTGTGGTCAGACAATGTATATCAAAATCTACTGGCCAAGAATATGCCGCAAAATTTCTCAAAAAGAGAAGACGAGGACAAGATTGTCGAGCAGAAATTCTGCATGAGATTGCTGTGCTTGAGCTGGCCACGTCTTGTCCCCACGTGATTAATCTCCATGAGGTCTATGAAAATGCCAGTGAGATCATTTTGATACTAGAATAGTAAGTATAATACATTTTAATAAATTTAAGTTACCCATTTTAATTGATAGGATGTAGTGCTTTGAATATGGCAAATATAAAAATGATAAAAATATGGTAAAAACTTATGTCTGTTGATACAATATTAAAGAGACAGTATATTTAAATATTTCACACACAAAAATGAAAAGAAGTTACCACTCAACATTTGGGGACTAGGGTGAAATAATTGTAATTTTATCTTGGTAATGGCACAGAATTTGGAATTTTTTCCTGAAAAACAATCTAATGGGCAATTTTTTTTTTCCTGTATTTTAGGGAAGGGTCTACAGGGTGTTCAGGGTCTCACTACTAGATCAGACTCAGTGATCCTCCTGTTTACAGCCTCCCAAGTGCTGGGATTACAGGCATGCACCACCATGCCCAGTGTCAATTGCCATCTCAGCGCGCCTCAGGCACAGGGCCAGCACAGCAGCCTGGGGATCGAACCCCCAACCCCTGTGCTAACGGGCAAATAGAATTGAAGTCACTTGTGTGTTTTGTCCATTTATTTGGAAAATACCTCCAAGGAAAAGATCCCAGGAGAACAGAAAAGTGAGCGCCTGGTGCACTGCTTAACGAGGAAACACAGTATATGCAGTGTGCTTAGCACTGTGTTAGAAATTGTAACAGTAAGAAATAAAGTGTGCATCTTGCTAAGGAAAAGTCGAAGCCCCCAGAGAGTTGCCAGTGCTGGAGTGGTACAAGTTGAGGATGGTTGTGATAACCAGGGTTGCTGCCCAGCAGGTTGACCTGCTGCTTTTCAGTAGTGCCTAGTATTGCTGCAAGGATGCAGAAAGTATGTGTGAACATCTGCAACAACTGGAAGCATCAGCTAAGTTTATGTTTAGTACCTTTTGGGTTCTGACAGTTTGTAATAAACTAAATCTATTTTATATTAAACAAGGTAAGTTATTTTTGGGAAAAAATGTATTAACCATAGTAACAGGCTGGTGAGATACCTCAGGGCACTAAGCACCTGTTTAGGCAAGCACAGGGACTGAGGTTCAATCCCTGGTGCCACATGCCATGCCTGCCCCACCCCCGGGCGCAACGAGCCAGCCAGTGCTGGGGAGGCTGAGACAGGAGCATCACTATGAATCCAAGCTGTGTGGGGAGACCCTGCACCAAATACGCTCAGAACCATAGTGACTACTTTTATAGCTATCTTGCATCATAGCCTTTTTGAATTTAAAAGTGTATTACCTTTATTTTAGTATTCATTTTAAGAATGCAGAATCTGTGCATGTATATGTATAATTTTTAATCAATTTTTGTGTCAGAAAATAGATTTTTGCCTGGAATCAACTTGAAAATGAAAATGCTGATTTTCTAAGTTGTAAACTAACAAGTATTTCCTTAACTATAAATACTGTGTACATTTCCCAGAGCACCAAGATTCACATTCAGACATATTATAGCATCTGTCAGTTACCCACTTGCATGACATCTGCATGTTTGAACTATATGAAAAGTAGCCAGCGTTTTTCAAAATGAGTAATGGAATGCTAAGCTTGGAGGATGAGTGTGCGTCGGGACGTTGGCTGCTTCCATAAACTCTGCTTAGGGCTTCACCTAAACAGCAGCAACAAAATATATTAAACTGTTTTGACACGTTTTATGGCTAGACCTTGTTCAGACGCTTGTGAAAATTGACTCGGGTACAGCACCTGTAAACTACAACTCTTGCTGCTGTGTACGTATCTCCGTGAAAGGGGACGCACCCAGCATGTGTTTGAGTGGATTAGTATGTTCATTACCAGAGTGACAAAGTCTCACCGAAGTTTACTGCTGAGATTTTGGCACCATTCCTGTACCTGTCGCTTCTGAGGTGGTCTGATCACATCAGATAGTTTTAGTTGATGGTAAAAATTAGACGAGAGAGGGTTTTTTTTGATAAAGTGGCTAATTTTTATGGTAAAAATAAAATGGTGTAATCTGTCACTCTTAGAACTATTAACCAGTGTGTGTGTGCATGCGTGTGCTTGTATGTCCCTGTGCAGGTACCTTGTTACAGCAGGGTCTGCTCGTCCACTACTCCTTCTTCCTGTTTCTATTCCTAATTCCTGTGAACTTCTGCAATCTGCCGCTTGTGTTGCCTGTTGCCTTCTGCCTCTGAACTTTTCCTCACTGTCGATTCTCTGCCCGTGTCCCTCTCTGGGCATTGTGGAGTCCTGCAGCGCAGAGTCAGTGTCCTGTCCTGAGGGGAGGTCCAGAGGGCCGGCGGCTGATGGTCACAGTGCTGTTCTTAAAGCAAGCAGAAAAGCCTTAGCACACTTTTCCTGTTTATAAAAATAATACCTATTCATTAGATTCAAAAGATCTTAGAAATAAAAGATGTAGATATGCAAACTGTGATTACTTCTTGACACATTCTTGTACTTTACAATCCTTCTTATTTCTTGATCTGTACATGTGTAGCTTCAGAAGCAAAACTGCGAACTACCAGCTATATTCTCTTGTAACTCTTTCACTTAAGAATGCATTATGGGCATATATATATATATTTCTAAAACTGAATTTTAATTGAGCAAAGATTTTTTAAATTACCTTCAAAATCAGGGTTCAACAAGAAGCCCCCAGATCCAGAAGGGCTAGATGCTGGTGGGAGGAAGTCAGTGCCTGTTGCTCTGTTATGTTAGTAACTGGAGGGTCTGAACCCTTGGCCCACATCAGACGTGCTGCACGCCTGCAGGGGCCGCCGCGGCCTCAAAGCAGCTCTGGTGCTCAACGCTTGCTGTACAGTATCCGACTAAATCTGACGTGTGCAGGTGGAGCGCTGACTCGCGTGTCACCAGAGGACGCACAGGCATCTGCCTTGTCCCTGTGTGCGTGCCGTTGGTGACAACCACACCATCATCCGTGGCCCTGCTGTGCTTCCTCAGCTTGTCCCGGGCCTGTGTCGTGCAGAATGTCCAGCAAAGAGCTTGTTTTCAGAGGTCCTGGAGCTTAGCTCCTCACGTCCTTATTTGCTGATCGCTGTATTAGTAATGTCAGATCACGCAATATTATTTGAAATACATCTTGAATGCTTTTGGAGAAATATACTTGGACCACTGGCTGTTTTGAGGCAGTTTGCTTAATTAAAATCAGACCGTGTAACCAGAGAGGGAAGAGTGAAGGGGTTGCTATTGTCATTCTCCCTTCAGGGACCTTGAGAGGGCTGCAGGCCCACCAGGAGGAGTTTAGTACACACTGTTCATGGAGATGAAATTATTTTAGGGGGAAACAGAATGAACATAAGTGTCTCCCTGTACCGTGCTCTGGAGCTCACCACTGTGACCCAAGTGCGGCACGCTCCACTCCAGCTCGCATGTTTTTGGTTCCTTGGGGCAGAGACGTAGGTCATTTTCCTCAGAAGTAGCCAGGGTCATGATGGCAGGGTGCGCTGAAGCCTTGCCTGGAGCCTCCTGCTGCTCCCTAGGAGCTGTGCCACCATGCTTCTGCAGCCACAGGCAGCGCGTAACGAGTGAAGGCTGTGGCTTCTGTGGCACCTGTGCTGGTGACTCAGTGGCAAGTTACAGGTGCGGGTGCCTTGGACTCAGGACGCCTCTGGGGCCATCATCATGTCCCTCGGGGCTCCCATGATGTGCATATGACTCATTTCTTCTCCTTGGCGCTCCCGGGGGCTTCTCAGGCCCAGTGTCAGCCCCCCTGCAGAATGACTGCCGCCTTTCATTCACTGTCAGTCAGCAGGCATGCACTGTGCCTCGCATGCGCCCGATGCCAAGCTTGGTGCTCTCGGCCAAGAACCAGGGAGCAAAGAGGTGAAAGGAACGGCATCTTCTGGAGTGACTTGCTGCCTAGCAACATGAAATATGTTCTACTTGGACATTCCTGAGCATAAACTGATGCATAACCACCTGGATTGTTTTCTTGTGCATGATATTCTTATTACCATTTTTATGTTATTTATACTTAACCCTCAAAAATCTCTTGAATATAGTGAGATTCATTTTGCAGATGGGGAAACACCAGGACTGGAAGTGACAGGCCCTAAGTGATAGTGCTGGTAAATAGCAGTTAGCGTTTCCGTTCAGATTATTTGATTCCAAGCCTGGGGATTCATCACTATGCCTTTTGGGCATTCTTCAGATTTCAAGTCTTTAGACACACTGTTGCTTTCTGGTCCCAAGTCTTCTACAGGAGTCTGCAGTGCAGAGCACCGGCTAACAGCGTAGGTTCTTAGCCATACCGCAGATTCCTGTTGTGCCCGTGTTTACCGTGTGACTCTTTACATGCTGCTTAATGTCTTTAACCTTGTTTTATCTGTGAAATGGGAATAACAGCGTGCATCCTCTGCTTGTCACGAGGCTCAGAGTAGGTGACAGTCACAAGCTGCACGCAGATTTGTGTGTATGCAGAGCAGAGCGCAAAGCATTAGCTACTGCTTTTATTTTTATTCTACAGTTAAGGCAGATTGTAACGTTAGTAGATTATCAGGTGGCTCAGGTTTGTTAAATTTTCAAGTATTACTACCTGGTTTGTCTTCTTACTTATTTTATTATTTGAAGAGCTCCGTGCGCTCTGCTGCTCTTAAGTGTGTTGGTGTGTCCCTGTGCACACGGACACTTAGGCGGCTGTGTGTCTTTGCCTTAACAGGTATACAGTATCCAACAGTTGTTTGTAGTTTAATGATTTTAAGTTTCTATTCCTTGGATTTTATTTCAGTGCTGCAGGCGGGGAAATTTTCAACCTGTGTTTGCCTGAGCTGGCTGAAATGGTCTCTGAAAATGACATTAGCAGACTCATTAAGCAAATACTTGAAGGAGTTTATTATCTACATCAGAATAACATTGTGCACCTTGACTTGAAGGTAAGGTGAAGAGTGACGTGAAGTGGCGCAGCGGGTGTGCCCTTCTCTGCCCTTGACGTGCGTGTTTCTAAGCTAGTGCTGAGAGGAGGTGGCCATATCCGGATTCTAGGCGATGCTGGGTGCCCTCTTTGCCTGCTCACTGTGCTTCAGGGATTTGGTTTTCTACTGGCTGACTGCAGTGACTATGTCTACACAGCTCAGACCAGTGGGGACCGCTTCAAAGGCCCCGTTCTGTGTGTCTTCCTTCCCTGGTCACCTCACTCCATGCCTGTCAGAGAGCCACAGGTTGTACCTGCCTTCGTCCGAGTGACCGCTTCAGGTCCCCCGGGTTTTCATCTCTGCCTCCGCAGATGTGTGTCCGCTAGCTCCCTTCCTCCCTCCCACGACACTCAGCCATCTTGCTCTCGCGGCTCTCAGTCTCTGGCCCCTTCCAGATCATTCCGGCTCCCTGCCGAGCTCGGACACTTCGGCCTGCATGTTGGCATTTCCCTGCCCTCCTCCGCAGTTGCCCTGTGACCTTAGCGCCTGTCCATGTGTCTCTAGCGAGGAGCCCTGGACTCTGCTCTGTCGTCTCCCTATGTGACCCTCTGTCTCCCACTACCCTGTTCATCGTCCCCACATCCCAGATCTCTGCCGAGGGCCTGCGCTTATTTCCAAATCAGCTTTCAGCTCTAGAATGGACACCAGGCAAGTGTCCTGTAGGAGCTCTAAAACGCGCGTGTTGCAAGCTGCACTTGTCTTGCCCTCCTTTCTTACTCCTTTTTCAAAGGGGAAACTCCAGCCGGGCTCTTTTCTTATCTTTGGCTCTCTGGGGCGGGGGCCTGCGGTGAGCTTTTCCTGCCCAGCAGCCATCCCATTTCCCACGGTGGCGTGACATACTGGGAAAGAAGCAACCCAGCGGGCGCCACGTGATCGCGCTGTGGGTGGGCTCCTGCTTGTCAGAAACCACATACGCTGTACAGCATTTCGTGGCACTTTTGAAGTAGGGATGCCACATAAACCTCTATAAAGCTGACTTCGTGCACCTTACAGCCCGGCCTTCACACAGCAGAGCTCTTTGCCCTTGCCCTGTATCCTTTCAGTAATACACAAGGAGGAGATTGCCCCAAGTAGGAGATGTCAGGATCCGTTGCGTGGACGTTGGGAGCAGCACTCGTGTGTGTGCATGGGCTTGGGTAGCTGCAGGGAGCTGGGTCCTAGGCCTCCGGCCACGTGCCCATCCTTTCAGGAGGCAGTGGGTGGCGTGGCCACTTATCTCCAACCGGAGACCGACATTCTCTAATTGAATGTTAAAGCACTTATAATTTTTTGTTCTTTTTCTTTTTTTTTAGCCACAGAATATACTATTAAGCAGTGTATATCCTCTTGGGGACATAAAAATTGTAGATTTTGGAATGTCTCGAAAAATTGGGAATACATGTGAGCTTCGGGAGATTATGGGGACACCAGAATACTTAGGTAAGGATCTGCCTTTATTTTCTACACCATTTGGAGTTTATGAAGTGTGGTGCGGTGCAGTAGCGCTTGCTGAGCACCTGTGAGGCCTGGGTTCTGCCTCGCTCAGAAATCAGGCAAGGACAACACAAACTCTGCCGCTATGTTTTCCCGGTGTGTAATTTCAGGGTTCATCTAGTTGAAGTACTTTGACACACTCAACCTTGGTTGTGCCACGAATCGTAGTGAATGCAGGGACACTAACATGTTCCCAGCTCAGAGGGGTTAAGTAACATGCATGGCAGGCTAAGCGTTGTGTAGTAGGACTTCGTACAGATATAAGGAGAAAAGTAGCCAGGCAGTTAGGAACAGAAGAAATACAGAAAAAATAAAGCAGGTCATCAGGTGCCTTTGACAGCCTCGAAAGCCTGGTTGCTGGGTGGACCTCACCTTTTCCTCTGTGGTCCCAGCTCCAAGCCTGTGTGCAGCACAGGTATCTTTGGTTTTGCTAGAATTGTTGGCAGGAGAGTTCGCTGTTGCTACTGCCTGTAAATGTGACGTTTTCTATAGAGCACTGAAAGGAGGGATTTGAGAAAAAAGGTACCAAAAAGAAACCAGGGGTTAGATGATCCAGAATACTGTGCTCAACCAAAAATTAGGTCATGCATATGAAAGATTAAGCTGTGTGAAGCAGCGCATGGAGTATTTTGACCTGTAGGAGAAATATATTCACCTTTTCGTCATTGCTTATGTGGCTGTCCCTAGACAGACAATAAAGATACGCAGCTAAACCCAACACTGACCACTTAGCCAGGCAGTTGTTTCCAGGAGAGAAAAACAATGCAAACGACTAACTTTCAGTGTTCAAATGGACCACAGTGTTGTGGAGTGAATGGTTGTGATTTTTGAAGGCACACTCACAAGAGAATGTGAAATGGTTGTAGGAAGCTTACCAGCAATTACCAAATAGGTGGACATTAGAAAAGAAATTTGTTGGGGGGCCTGGCTCTAGCTCAGT